ACACTATTTTGTAAGCTTTAAACTTTATAAATAAAAATAAAAATATATTTTAATGCTATTACAAAGATTTCTATACGAACCGCACCCTTCCGATAATACAAGGGGTTTTTTTTGGCACTGGATTTAAAACTTCAAGTAGGGTTAGAGGTGCCCTTATTTAGATTGTTTAAGGTTGACGCCTGAGAGCTTAAAGTGAGCTAAGAATATTATAATCATATTAGTTATTGCCCAACAAACACAAGCAACACTTGCACGTCACAGCGGTCTCACTTTCAACTCACTTGGCTTTTGCAGTTTACGTCTCTAAACCTTGATGACATTTATCTCCAAAAAATTCAAATTGATTTATTTTATCACGCTAAATAATGACGATAATGATTCTAATATTATCCATGTAAAATCAATCAAATCACGATAATTGAGGCTTTTCCAGTTAAGAAAAAGTTTATATAAGGTATTAATCTCAAAACGCACAACTAAGGTGCACCCCAAATTTACCCATTGATTATTTTGACAATAGAAAACCCTCTAATTGATCATTTCGACACCCGAAATGTATGAGTATCAGTAAAATATATATTTCAAGTATTATATATAGTGTAACACATTATCTAAACCGTCTATATTTGTAACACATTATCTAAACCGTCTATATTTGTTTTTGGGTAGTTTATTATTTAGGCTGTCATTTTTAAATATTTTCACATGATTATAGATCCTCTTGATCTGCATTATTTTTTAAATTTAAATTTTTATAATTGGAGATGAGAATATATTTTTAGACCAGAATTATTGACACCAAACTTCCATCTCATTACGAAGTTTGAGGAGGTGTGCCTTACTTTGATTGCAGCCCTCCTGTTATTGTCACGATTTCCGTTATTTGCGATAGAGACAATTTTATTGTTAATGTGGGCATGTACTATAAAGTATATTAACCTGGGAATAAACATGTCGGCACCTAAAACATGCCCATGTAGCAAATGAATAGCAATTTGCAGGGAAGAGATATTAAACTTCTAAGCTAAAATTATTAAGTTGGACAATGTCTTTTATAATAGTTCATCATTTACAGAGGATCATTATGTCGATGGTTTGGAAAAGTATATAATGAGACTATTTACCTTAGATACAAGGTGGTCAGAATTAATCTTGACCATTTGATGTGAAATTTGATGGTTGTATTTATTCCATTGATCATGCACAAACTTCAAAATATTTTCTTCTAAAACTTTGTGAGACACCCAAACTATCTTATTTCATATCTAATAGTTATAAATAATTGTGACATCATTGTATCAAAGGTAAATGGTCTCATTGTATACAATTCAGTGTATATATATTTTTATATCTATTGTTGTTAATAAAAGTTTGTTGGGGTTATGTGGTCTTTAAAGGCCTTATGAGATACTGTATAAAATATATTTAATAAATGAAACATAAACTCAATGGGATTGTGGTCATTTGTGGACCATACTAGGCAAATGTTATTTGTTGATACTCGGACTAGGCTCGACGAGCTAGGCCAGCTGAAGTTTGGAAAAACCCAAGATACTTGGGCATTAAGATCTAACTGATAAGGATTTAGCGAGTTAACCCTCAATAAGGTCGGTGTATGCCTGGATGAGAGCTGAGAGACCGTATGGCCCTTGCGTGTGATGAATAGCCTTTAGAGACAAGGCTCAAACATCATCGTTATATCATCACATGGTATGTACATAGATAGCCGTTTTGAGGTTCGTCAATGGAGGTGAATCGTGTACATGTGTGAGAGATTACCCTTTACACCATAGAATCATGGTTGCATCATGGTCTAGAGGACCATGATTTCTGTCTCTAGGGGAGAACTTGAATTCCATAAATTGAGATTGTGTACCCTAGTATATTGACTAACTTTGGTGGTCTAATCATGAGCCCCTGCAATGGATTGTGAGACATGAGAATTGCTGGGTCAATTTGAGAAATATAAGAGGATCGTGATTCGCAGTTGAAGGTAGAGTGCTCCCATATGTTAATAGTTTCCTAAATTGAACGGATCCGATTCCTATCAAAATTAATTAATATTATGTTATGTGATTTTTTTGAATGTTTATTTGAATTTTTGTAAATCTTCAGATATTTTATTTTTGTTATTTGGATTTATAAATCAAGAGAAATTTATTTTTTCAATATTTTAAATAAAATAAAATATTTAAAAATTCTAAATATAAAATAAAATATTTTATAAAAATATATGAGACCTCCATAAAGTATGGGGCGAAAATTTTAAAACATGTAGATTAGGTGGGGCCCATGGCCATCAAAAGGGTGGCATGCTCCACCCATTCACGTATTTTATTGGGAAGAATGTTTATTTGGAGACTCAGTGGAGTGTATTAAGCCTGGTTGAGGTAATCTCTGACAATTTTATCTTTTTAAATATTTATTAATGTTTTGATATTCTCTTCCCATAAAACAATAAAGTTGTTGAATAAAGAATTGTATTTGAAGATGTAGCAATTGATAACCGATTTTATTCTATTTTATTTATTTGAAAAGTGGTTTCATTGTATTTGAACATTGTAAATAATATTGCCGGTGTAAAAATAAATATTTATTTTTAAAAAATATATAGGCTTTGCTTTATCACAAAGTTATTTCAAAATTTACCCTTATAATAAATAATACATTAAAATGATATTTCAAGATTCATCCAATTATATAATACATGAAAATGTTTTGATCGGCTGCAACTCTAATAAGATTGGTAAATCCTCACCTCAAAACTCACAAAAAGTTGGGGTTTTGGCATTGAAAAGCTTTTGAATTGATCAAAATTGATTATCCGGCCTTGACCATGAGGTTGTGAAAAAAGAAGAAGAATATTTCAAGCCTTAAAAAATTTATATTGTAACATATTATCTAAATCGTCCATTTCGTCTTAAAATACTTAATCATGCAAAATCTATACCATTTTTTAGTTTCCAATTTCATAATCGGTATTAAATTTTGATTTTAGAGCCATCGCGGAGATTTCAACACCCAAAATACTTTCTAGATAAGAACTTGACTTCACTTTATTTTTCATAAAGCCTATGCCTTATAGAAACTACATCCTATAGTAAATTTCTAGATAAAAACGAGAGTATCATTGGTAAAATTCCCCAAACAATAATATCCACTAACAAGTGGCAACTTAGGAGATATGCGAAAATTCATCACTTAAATAATTGCCCAAATACATATAACAAATTTTATCCAAAACCCATATTCATTTTTATCTCATCAATGTTAAAGCAACAAAATGAACCAAAACATACAGCAATAAACTTTAGACAAGATCCACACCAAATCCATTTGAAATTTGAAGTTGTGGACAGTTTGATGGCAAAAATCCATTTGAAATTTGAATTTCCAAACCAATTTACGAAATTCCTTATCGAAAAAATATCCGTATTCATAACTTACAGTTTAAAAAAAAAAGAAAAAAATGACATGAATGAATATGTGACAGTGTAGGATAAATTCTTTAACTGCTACAAAAATTAAAGGATATTTATGTTAATTTTTAAAATTTACATTAATTTTTTTCATACGAATACACACTAATTTTGGAATTTTTTCTCTAATAAAATAAGTCAATTTCATTGCGTCTAATTTATGGCGCCAGAGACGTTGTTTTATTATTTGTGAGGTTGGTATAAGGTTGAGGACTAAACAATCGAAGTAAGGCACAGCTTCAAATAGTGTCTAAATATGTTTTGGTACTCAGAATCTTTGTGATGGCATCAAAATTAATTTTTATCTCTAATTATAAAAATTTAAACCTTTAAAAAAGATATAAATCGAGCATATCGATGAACAATCATGCATCACAAGATGCACCAGTTCCAATATTTGAAATCTATTTTTTTTAATGTCTATAGATCTTGAGGTTGAGATGTTATATTTGAGGAATTTTGGGCATCAAAATAACCTATTATAGTGAATTTTTTAAGTATACCTTAATTAGATTGGTTCGGGCCTCACCCTTATATATAAATTTTTGTTTTTATCATTTTGGAGATCATATAAATAAAAGATAAATAGACGGACCAGATGTTTCTCATAGGCCAGAATCTTCAATACCAACCGTTCCATCCATCATGGTAGTCATCGCTCGGCCTAGTGTAATTTATGGCAATTTTAAAAAGAAAAAAATCTGGATTTTATAGTCTCGAGTCTCCACACTCCGGAGTCAGGAGCTACTCGTAAAATTGAAACGCTGAAAAAACGTGGAAAACCGTTCAAGGGTTTGTGTGAGCATAGAAGATATTTAGCTTCCCAACTGAGAGCACTTTCTCTCTCTTCAATTTTCCATTTCCTCTCTCTTCAATTTTCCATTTTCTCTCTCTCATTCACCCCTCTTTCTCTCTCCTCCATTTCCCCTCCTGGCTACCCTCCATTTCAAAAGTCACCTTCTGTAACATTTTCTCCTTTCTCACTCCTTACATCATCTTATACTGCTGTTTCATTTAGCTAAGTACCGTTTCTCTTCCCTTTCTAGGTTTTTTTGTTACTTAACTTTCTCTCTCATCTGTTTACCTTTCTTCTCGTATCTTACCTGTTTCACTCCGAGTAAGTACGCTTTCTCTCTCCTCCATCTCTGCTCTTTTTTTTCTCTCTTCTCCGGTTTTTATGGCTTGTGGAAAAGAAGAAAAAAACGTTTCGGTGGGGTATAGCCTTTATCTGAAACGAGAGATATTAATTTGAGATTCTGATTTCCGCTTTAACCAACTTGATGCTCTGCAATTCCCACTTGTCCCAATCCTTCCACCGCAAGTAGGCGTCTCTTTGGCCCCACCATGACCTAGATAACTTCATCCAAGCCCTAATTATCCTTCGCCTTGTTTTTATCTGTTTTTCTCTCTCTAGTTTTCTTACTGTGCTTTCTCTCTCTCGTTTCGCTGTTGCAATTTGGTGGAAATTCTCTCTCATCTTTAATTTTGTGAATTTGTTGGTTTCTCTATCATTAGTTGTCATATTCTTGGATATTCTCTCTCTAGATTTCATCTAGGATTTTTTTTCTGGCGTTAAGAGTTACCGTCTTTCTTTTTGGGTCTCTCTCAAGCTTTCGAATTGTCAAACCATGGCTTGGATCAGCAACACAGACCCTCTCATTCTATAGGGCTCCAGTTTTCTCTCTCTAGGTTCAAATTGTCAAATTTGTCAAAGTTTGTGTTGTGTATCACCTAGTATTAGGTTATTTCCTTTTAAGCATTAGAGCGTTTCTTTTTTCTTTTTTTTGGATTTTTCTCTCTAGCTTTCGAATTGTCAAACAAGGGGTTCCTAATATCATTTTGAGCTCTCACTCCATGAGCTTTCTCTGGTTTAATGTGAGAAACCTTGTATGTACCACTAATGATTAAAGAGTATGAAGAAATATCCGTGTTATGATATTTACGATTGAGGTTTTGAGTGTTGGTACATAAATATGTGGTGTTTGATTTCTTCCTCTTAGCAATCATGCTACCAAAAGAAATGATTTAGTATTTTTAGGGCTTAGGAAATTTTATTTATTTATTATGTCACAGTTAGCTCTTTTACTGTGTGGTTTTACTTTTTCAAGGTTCTTCATGTTTTAACCACCAAGAAAAAGAGAATTTTAGTTTTCACTACCTAGGTATAAACTTTAAAAAAAAAAAAGAAAAAAAAAAAGAAAGAAAAAAGGAAAGTTCATGAAGGTCTATGATTACTGACAAATGTTTAAACTGTCAACATTGGAGGCTTTTCTTTTAGGATTTTATAGTGTCAAAATATTTACGGGATGTAACTTTTAATGGGTATTTTTCCCCTTTTTCTCCAACTTGAACCTCCCTTTTTCTATTGAAGACATCTGCTCTCTGATTATGAAAGTCTTTTTCCTTTCTCAATCCAAACCCTAATTTCATTAAATTTTTGTTTCTCACTTCACCCTAATTTCATTAAATTTTTGTTTCTCACTTCACCCTATTTTTGTGAGGCTCCTGCTCCTGTGTCCATTAAATATGCCTGCTTTTAGAATCAGAGTTTTCTCCAAACTTAGAACAAGATATATATTTTTTTTCTTTTAACCCATTGCTCTCTAGAAGCCCCTATTTTGTTATAGAGAGTATCCGTTCTCTCATTTCTTATAGGATTTTTTAGTGCTCTCTGGTGTACCTTCTTCAGTTCTTTGGCCTTTTCTGGCTCCTTTTTTAGGGTTAGGTGGTCCATTTCTTATCGCTGGTCTGACACTTCTGCCTCCATGGAAAATGGTTATTTACTATCCAATTTGTGCTGTTTATACATGCAAATATCGAGCTATCCAATTAACCACTTTCTATTGATTCCCCCTGAATTTGTAATCTTCAGTGCTTAAACAGATCCAATACCTTGTCTAGGTCATATTTCTGAGAAATCTGAGGTTTTTCATCATCAACCCATATCTTCTTTCCTCCCACTTTGATCTTATAGAGACTCCCCTTCTTTTCTTCTCTAGTCTTTTCTTAGTTCTCTTAGTTCTGATAATTTGACAAGATTTGGGTCCGTGGGTTATTGGACAGAGGTCATATCTGCATTTGGGGTGTATTTGTTCTGGTATCGGATTTTGTGAGGCCTATGCTTTTGGTGAATTTGGGAATTCCTTAAGTGAATTTGTGTCTTGGCATTTGGGGCCTATTTGTTCTGATATAAGATTTTATTGGACGAATCCTTGCTTGGTGTTGGGTTTTCTTTCGTGGGTTATGCTTGTTTGCTCGTGCTAGATCTAGATGACAATAGATACTGTGGAGAGTGCTGCATCTGATAAAAAAAATAGCTCAGTGTGGACTAGGGAGCAAGAGAAGGCCTTTGAGAATGCACTGGCCATTCATTCTGAGGAGTCTGCTGATAGGTGGGAGAAGATTGCAGCTGAAGTGAATGGAAAGACTGTGGCTGATATTAAACGCCATTACGAACTCTTGGTGGAAGATGTGAATTGTATCGAGTCAGGAAGGGTGCCCCTTCCTTCTTATTCTTCTTTGGATGGCTCTACAGATTTGGCGGGAGAAACAGGGGTAGGAAAGAAGGGAGCACAGTATGCTTCCCATCTTCAAAGTTCAGATTCGAGCCCAAGTGCAAAGGGTAGTTCGAGGTCTGATCAAGAGCGGCGCAAGGGAATTGCATGGACAGAGGAAGAGCACAGGTATGGTTTCTTAACCATGGTAGGAACTTCAAATTTTTCTTTCTGGTCATCTATCGAAGGAGTGTGATTGGCTGAAAGGATACACTTTTCTGTAGTTAGTTCGTGGATGGTATTGGCTGATTATATTATTGCATCTTCTGTTTCTTTAAAACGTTCAATGGACATTTGGAAATCTTTGGTATGCTAATTTCTTTTGTGCTCTTTCTTTTTGATCAACCAGTAGTCGTGCTTGTTGGGTTCCATTTAGGGAGGGATACTTACAATGATTACATCTGTTGAGTGTAGTAGGATTTCCTTTTCCTTTTCTGAAGAAGTTAAAAGTATGATTTCTTATAAAGTGCATGCATGATAAACTGCATGCATGCCTAGATGATATTAAATTTAGGATTTAACTTTGTCCCTTGTAGAGAAATATTCTTCTAGATTTCCAATGTCTTGGTAGATTTTTTAAAGGATAGAAAGAAGAAAGAAATCTCAGAATTGTTGTTGCGAAGGCTGGATGTCTCCAAGTACAAATTGACTTGATACTTGCACTTGTTTTTTTCCTTATTTGCTGGGAATCATAAGCAAAAATGAGCAGGCTGATCGTCCACCTTACTTCAAAAACAAAGAAAGAAAATATGCTACTCATTTTTTTGAGAAATTACCAGGCTGATCATTGAGTTATGTTTGATCTATGAGATCTAAAAGCCGATTTTAGATTTGCTCATTAGAGTTGAATTGGATACTGAAACAAAATGAATGCAGTATATGAAGGACGTTCACAAATATACACATGCTCCAGTCCTCTTTATGATAAGATGGTCTTTTCTCTTTTGTATATCTGATCTTATAAACTTTAACCGAACAATTCTTTAGACAAAAACAATCACAGAGCATCGGACACTTGCTAGTTGTCTTAACCTTGACCATTAAAATCTGTCCCCTTGAAACCAATTCCCCTTTTCCCCTTTTTCCACTGAACACAGACCTTTTGCCTAGAGAATCATCACCCAACCTTTTTATGTTGCATCATATTGTAAGGCGCTGGTCATCAATAAATTTTTCCTAACAAAACGGAACATCTTCAGTTACTTTTGCATAATTATTCATTTTCTTTAACAGATTGAAATTGCATGCAAGTTTTTTAGCAGGATGAATCCATTAAAATTTGGATATCTCCCTGAATTGATGCAACAAATCTTCAGAAAGGTCCTGACAAAGTGACAAGGTCTTCAGTAAAAATATAAAAAAGAAAAGACCGTGTGCAAATGCATTAACTGGCATCGCCTGATATTTATGCGGCTTGTTGGAGCTGTGTTTGGAGGAAAACAGATTTTGACTAATTAAGGGAGGACCGATGTATTTCAATTCTTCTCCATAATTTATCGGAATTTTAACTAAAAACCTCAAACTGTTGCTTATTTTAACAGTTTGCCAACACGATTACGGATTTTAACATTTACCATATGATGTAAAGTGTCAGACTAGCAGGAGGGGCATTGCCTATGATTTTAACATTTACCATAGGCTGTAATTGTGTCAGACTAGCAGGAGGGGCATTTCCTATTCCTTCGGGCAGAATACTTGCCTTTTTAAAATATCTTTGTTTAGAAGATATTGATCTTAAATGCCAATACCTTTTCTTCTTTTTTAAGTCTAAGTATATTCCAAGGGTGATGTTATTTCTAACAAAAAACTACTTGAGATATTTGTGGTTGTAACACCAATATCTCAAGGCTTATAAAATATCTGTATTCTAGAAAACCAATATCTTGGATTACTATTTCGGAATAAAAACATTTTTAGTGAGGTACAATATTGGAAAATGTCCCTCCTACAAATTATGACATGGATACGAATGAGGTGAAAGGTTAAAATTGCCATCTCCTAGGCCTGATATCAATAAAAACCCTTTATGTGTATCATATTTTGGGTTCTTGGAATCTCTGGATCATTATAAATTGTACAAGGAAGAGGGTTTCTATGAAAGGATCATGTGAAGTTCTTGTAGTTCTTTTGCTCAATGATGATTTTGTTATGAAAAAAAAGCCTATGCAACGTCGTGAACATGTGCATTCATAAAGACATTCATCGCTTAATTTTCTGTTCTACAAAAATCGCTTCATATAACCTGAACATTTAACTACTTTGTGTCTGCATCAGCACCGTCTGTTTCTTTTTGTTCACTAGTGTCTCGATCCAACCTCTGTGGGTCATGCCTGTAGATTGTATTTGTTAAGACTGAGTCAATTTTCTATCCGATGAGTAAATGAAACATCAATTTGTCAATGGTGTGTATATCTAGCCTAGTTCTTCCAGACAACATAGTTACTAGTGAGTATTAAGGTGGATTCCAAAATATATGGCTACAGTCAGGTGTTTAAACCTGGGCAATATTCAGTCATTGCGAATAATGGTAAGATCAGCACATATGTTTGATGTGGATGATTGTCAGGTATATTAGTGAAAGATTGTCTACTGTGTGAGTAAATGCTCTATTGTGGACTAATGGGAAATTGGGACTTAGCGGTTGTAAACTATAGTTAGGAGTCCAGATACTTTATTGCCCATCTCAGAATGTCAAAATTGTTTTTATTTTGTGAAGGAAAAAGTTTATACAAGGTTGCAACCTTATACTATAGAAGTAAGATACATCTAAAAAATCTAGTAGAAAAAAGTGTTCTGAAGTTGGCAAAACCTTCTACTTGATCGTCGACCTCGAGATGCATCATATAAAGAAAAAAATGAATTTCAAGAGGAAACGGGCTTCGGTCAAGACGGTAGAGGCTAGGTTTTCATAGCCCAATGTCTCAAGTTCCATTCCTATGTAACCTTGTTAGGGAAAAAGGAATTTCATGTCCTAAAAATAGTTAATCTTGTAACAAGTTATCTGGACCGTCTATTTTCAAGATTTGGAAGTGTTTATAGATATATTCAATCTGCATCATTTTAACTGTCCCTAGTCCTTGCTGTAACTGCGGAAGTACAGGTAGAACTACCTTGCCTCTATTCCATGCTAAAATAGTTGTCTTATCCTTCAGCCTTTCCATAAAGACATCTATGGCCCCAACCCTAGAACAAGCCCTATGACCATAATAAATGTTAAATAACACAAAGCAGGAAAAAGTGTGTGCTTTGATGAGGAGTAATGTCTCCCCTTGCCATGGTTCTTTTTTATAATAGTGACTTGGAATAAGAGAGACTTGTTTATTAATATGCCATTTTAAGGAATTAGAATTCTCCAAACTGGCAAGCTCATGCAGAGCCCACCATCGAACAATAGACATTGAGCCATCTTGTGTAGAGGTGGGATGGCAAATTAGTGTCAAAACGCAAAAGTTCCTTTAGGAGGAGCAGACTTCTTGGAAATTCAATAGAAAGCCAAGTGTATGCCTTACTTTACAGATACACATAAATAAACACGATTTTTTTTTTTGTAGAAAGGTTAACTGTTAAATAAACATGGAAAATTATTTTTGAAGTAGCATCTTAATTGAGATTCTCCATCTTCAAACAGAGTGGTCCTCCAAAGATGTAATACTTATGTTAGGCCCAATTTTATCTCTTCCTGCTTGGAAACATTGATTTCTGCAATGGAATGCTTTGTAAGGAGACAGTGGTCTCCAAAACCTTACGGTTTAGTGTATTGTGCTTTTGAGACTCAAATAAGGAATAAAACGAAACGATCAATGAAAGGATATTCTTGATTGACAGGGTGTTTCACTGGAACTACATATCAAAGTTGGTCTCCAAGATGATGATGTTTATATTTTGGCCATGTTCGATCTCTTGATGCTAGGAAACATTGGATCTATCATGGATGACATATTTAATGAAGTTACTTGAAACATTTATGCATATAGTGGAGGGTAGAATTATGATTCTCTTAATGATCTTTTAGTAAAGTCCTCTATATATTTTTTTATTATTCTGAAGAGCCAATACTAGTTTTCAACTCCTTATGCATAATTTCGTGAACATGGCCTTCTCGGACTTCTCATCTCTATCTGCCATCACATGTTGAGCTTTACACTGAAGCCCTTAGACAGCTTTGTTGATATTTGCGTTGACAGTAAATCTTACTCAGTGATCCCTTCTCTGGCATATCTAGCACTGCTATTTGTGGTACCTGCACAAAACAGGTGGAGGGATAGGCTGGTGTCCTTCTGAAGTAGACCCCAGGTTTTGTAGAGTGCCTGTATAGCCTATTGGACAGTTTGGAGTGATTGACTTCTTTGTGTTAGCCTTGGAAAGCCCTCAGTGATAGAGTATTTTGTGTGCTTTGGAGAAAAAAACTTCATAATTTGGCATCTGTGTCATCATTGGCATTGGTTGAATTTTCCCGATAGTTGCCTTTGCATATTCAAGAAGTTTTCTATATGATTTATTGCAGTTCTGGGCATTGACAGTAGAAAATACCTGGTGTTGACTGAGTTCCTTTGTTTCATCCTGACTTTATAATATCCTACCATGCTCATGGTCATGGACGTCTACGTAAAGACATGGAGGCGAAGGGGTGAAAGTAATGGGCATCCAAGAACTAGGTGGTGGAATTTAAAAAATGAGAAAATAGAGTTATTTAGGGATAAATTAGTTGAAGAAAGAAAATGGAACTTTGAACATGATGTCAATGTAATATGGAATGAAATGACTGAACGTATCAAGAAAGTGGCAAAAGAAGTATTGAGAGAATCTAGAGGGAAAAGAAACTTCGATAAGGAAACTTGGTGGTGGAATGATGAGGTTTAGAAAGCCATTAGCAAAAAACGATCTCGTTATAAAACTTGGCAGTGTAATAGAAACAATAAAAAATTAGAAGAATATAAAAATGCTAAGATTAATGCTAAACAAATAGTAACTAAAGCTAAACTTAAGGCATATGATAATCTATACAATAAATTGGGAACAAGAGAAGATGAAAAGATATCTTCAAATTAGCAAAAATAAGAGAGAAAAAGTGTAGGGATCTAATCCATATTAAATGCATTAAGAGTGAGGGTCAAAGGGTCTTGATAAAGGATGAGGAGGTCAACGAAAGGTGGAGAGTATTTTAAAAAATTATTAAATGACGAACAAAATGAGAACATAGTGGTAGAAGTGACTGTTAGTACAAGTGATAGTGGAGGTCATAGATACATTTGTAGGATTAGGATGTCGGAAGTGAAAGAAGCTTTGAAAAGGATGAAGATAGGAAAGGCTTTAGGACCAGATGATATCCCGATAGAGGTTTGGAAGTGCACGGGGGAAATTGGCATTGACTGATTGACAAAGTTGTTCAATAAGGTGTTGAGAACAATGAAAATGCCAGACGAATGGAGAAAAGGTATTGTGGTACCTATTTACAAAAATAAAGGAGACATACAAAATTGTGCAAACTATCAAGGGATCAAGCTTATGAGCCATACTATGAAGCTCTGGGAAAGAGTCATTGAGCAGCGACTAAGGCATGAAACAGATGTATCTGAAAATCAATTTGGTTTTATGCCAGGAAGGTCAACAACTGAGGCTATTTTCCTACTAAGGCAACTGATTGAGAAATTTAGGGCGAAGAGAAAAGACCTTCACATGGTCTATTTTGATCTAGAGAAAGCTTATGATAGAGTACCTTAAGATTTGATTTGGCGGGTGTTGGAAAGGAAAGGCGTCTCTAGTCTTTATTGATTTAGAGAAAGCTTATGATAGAGTACCTCGAGATTTGATTTGGCAGGTGTTGGAAAGGAAAGACGTCTTTAGATACTACATTGACTTGGTGAGAGAGATGTACGATGGAGTGGTTACTAGTGTACGAACAACTAGTGGCGAGACGAGTGAGTTTTCAGTGACAATAGGTCTACATCAAAGGCCAGCATTGAGCCTGTGCCTCTTTGTCTTAGTTATGGACGACTTAACTAGGCACCTACAGGATGCGGTACCGTGATGCATGTTGTTCGTAAATGACATAGTTTTGATTGCTGAGACCCGAAACAGCGTCAACACAAAGTTAGAACTTTGGAGGGATGCTCTAGAATCCACAGGTTTTAAAATTAGTCAGCTACGACAGATTGATGACCAGGAGGTACAAAAAAAAACTGCACTTTTGATATCTTAGGTTGATAATCCAGGCAAATAGAGAGATTGAGGAAGATGTTGCACACAAAATTAGAGCTAGGCGGGCGAAGTGGAGATGTGCAACTTGAATATTATATGATTGCCTCATACCAATGAGGCTGAAGGGAAAGTTCTATAGGACAATGGTGAGACCAGCTTTGCTCTATGGAGCAGAATGTTGGGGGGATAAAAAATAATATACCCACAGAATGAGTGTAGCAGAGATGAGGATGTTGAGATGGATGTGTAGCAAGACAAGAATGGATAGAATTCGTAATGAATCTATTTGAGAGAATTTGGGCATGGCACCAATAGACGATAAAATGAGAGAGAGTAGATTTAGGTGGGCTGGCCTTGTGTGGCACTGACCAAATACAACACCTGTTAGGATGTGTGAATTAGTTCTAGTAGAAGGACTATAAATGACGTGGGGTAGGCCCAAAAGGACGTGATTGGAAGTAGTCCGAAAAGATATGGGGACTTATGGTTTCACTGAGGATATGGGCTTTACTAGCGTAGAATGGAGAACCAGGATTCATGTAGCCGACCCCAATTAATTGGGAAAAGGCTAAAATGATGATGATGATGATTTAGACATCTTTCACATGCAATAAGTATTTTTTATTAAAATGCGGTTCTCTCAAATTCGTGTACGAAAATGATAAGTAGACAATGACTTGACCTCTTATCTGACATAACCACTATTGGAAAAACCGGTGATCTAACTGCTAACCGCCCAATTAGACCGGAACCGGTTTTGGGTGATTTTGGTGATTGACTGGCATTTAATTTTTTATTTATTTTAAAAAGTATATAAAATTCCAAAAATAAGGAATTTGGTTTGTAATGTATTTTTTAATATTCTTTATATTATGGTAAAGATTAAAAATTGTTTTGGTCATTAATAATGACTTTTATATTTTTTCATCTTTTTAGAAAATTTTAAAAATACCCCTAGGCACAATTCTATTCGTTAAAATCCATATTTTTTTTTTAATTAATTTTCAACTACATTTGAATGTGTTTTGTTGTAATCGTTCTTTATATGCTTTTCATATTTTAGTTAGTTTTTTTTTTTTTTTTGATTCTTTTTTTTTTTTTTCAACACTTCTTTGACTGCCCGAGACTTGCCCAGTTAGAATCATTGAATTGGCCGGTTTACCAGTTAAGCCAGTTAAACCGCGTCTAGGCCTGCCGGTTAATCATTTCGGCTCGATTTTGCGAACACTGGACATAACACATAAATTGTTTACAAACTTTATTCAGTGAAAATGTTTTTGTTTGGTAATCAGTATGATGGCTATGATTTTAACCTAGACTATGTACTAATTGAGACCAACAACTGAGGCTATTTTCCTACTTAAGCAACTGATTGAGAAGTTTAGGGCGAAGGGAAAAGATCTCCACATGGTCTTTATTGATCTAGAGAAAGTTTATGATAGAACACCTCAAGATTTGATTTGGCGGGTGTTGAAAAAGAAATGAGTCTCCAGACATTGCATTGACTTGGTGAGAGATATGTACGATGGAGCGCTAACTAGTATACGAACGACTAGTGGAGCGACGAGTGAGTTTTTAGTGACAATAGGTCTATCATCAAAGGTTAGCATTGAGCCCGTACCTCTTTGTCTTAGTTATGGACGAAACACGATGAGATACCATGGTTGTTCGCAAATGACAGTTTTGATCGATGAGATCCAAAAAGGCGTCAACACAGAGTTAGAACTTTGGAGGGATGCTCTAGAATCCAAAGGTTTTAAAAATTAGCCGGACTAAGACAGGGTATATGGAATGCGAGTTTCGTAATAATAAGAGTAGAGATGAGGAAGTTGTTAAGATTAACGGCCAGGAAGTACTAAAAAAACTGCACTTACGATATCTTGGGTCGATAATCCAGAAAATGGAGAGATTGAGGAAGATGTCGCACACAGAACGAGAGTTGGGTGGGTGAAGTGGAGATATGCAATTGGAATATTATGTGATCACCACATACCAATTAAGCTGAAAGGCAAGTTCTATAGGACAACTGTGAGACCAGCATGGCTCTATGGAGCCGAATGTTGGGTGGTCAAAAAACAATAAACCTATAGAATGAGTGTAGCGATGATATTGAGATAGATGAGTGACAAGACAAGAAGGGATAAAATTCGAAATGAATCCATTCGAGAGAATTTAGGTGTGGCACCAATAGGCGATAAGATGAGAGAGAGTAAGCTTAGGTGGGCTGGGCATGTGTGGTGCCGACCAAGTACAACACCTGTTAGGAGGTGCGAGTTAGTTCAAGTCGAATGACTTAAAAGGGCAAGGGGTGGGCCCAAAAGGATATTGTTGGAAGTAGTTCCGAAAGACAAGGGGACTTATGGTCTTACTGAGGGTATGACCTTATAGAGCAGAATAGTGGACTAAGATTTGTTTAGCCGACCCTAATTATTTGGGAAAAAGCTATGATGATGATGATGATGACTCTGTACTAATTGAGCTTCACAATGGTTTGTTACCGTAGGGCTGAACATTTCTAAATGGTATTTTTCAATTGTGGGTATATGTTAAAATCAAATTCTTGGGTGGACTTGAAGTATTAGGACTTATTAATTGAGGAGGAACCAAACATTACATTCACACTAACGGTCTGCTGTTTAGGCATCTTTTGCTTAAATAATAATTGGGAACAAATGTTGGTATGAATGGAAAGAAAGCATTATATTATACATTGGACTCTTAATTGAGTAGACCAATGAACTGATCGAAAATAAAAAGAGAGAGAACGATGGATAGATACCAGACGTGTGTGATCACTAAACATTCTGAAATGGAAGTGAGCTCCTTTTAAGGTTTTTTAATTTTTGGTAGCAGAACCCCTTGACGTACTTATTGTTCTGGCATTCTTGAAGTTCAATTTGGTGGAACTTACAAATGATATCCATATCTGAAATTGCTCAGATTGCTCGCTTGTGCTAGAAATAACTAGTGTCATACCTCTATTTTGGTTATTGATGGAAGACATTGGTGGTATTCATTGTTTCTAGCGCAAATACCATGTGAACTTTCTTTACTTTTCTGGAAAGAACAAAGATAACTCTGTATCTTGCACTTTTGATTTGTGTTATGAAAGTTGATCTTACAAGAGAGAGAGAGAGAGAGAGAGAGAGAGAAGATTGTCCCTTGATCTCCTGCATGCATTATGTGGTTATCAAGAAAATTGAAATAACGGGCCCTTATCCGGAGCCATTTTAAAATGATTATTTTACCTTGATCAATTAACTTAGCTCATTTGTCTCTTACATACTGGATTGGCATAAAATATTGGTTGAAGAAAATAAGCTGCAATACTGCATGTACAGATGTGTATCTTGACTTGTCTTTTAAATGCTAGATTGGGGTAAAATAGTCATTAAGAAAATCTGCTTGAGAATTTCATGTATTGTCCTGACTGTCTTGTAGAAACAAAAGAGAAATGTGCTAATAAACCTTTTGATTTCAAACCTCATGCCAGTGGCCCTTAATTCTCATCTCTACGCTCCATTTATCAGAAAACATAAAAAAAAAAAATGATATTTAGATTTATCGAAGGATAAATCGATCTTTATGCTTCATTTATTCTTGGAAATTCTTATTGCTCTTTGATGGTTCTATGGAAACAGGTTGTTCCTGCTGGGGCTTGAGAAATATGGCAAGGGTGACTGGCGGAGCATCTCAAGAAATTTTGTCATCTCCCGAACCCCAACTCAGGTAGCAAGCCATGCTCAAAAGTACTTCATTCGCCTCAACTCTATGAACAAAGACCGGAGGAGATCAAGCATCCATGACATAACCAGCGTAGGCAATGGCGATGTGTCTTCTCCTCAAGGCCCCATCACAGGCCAAACCACCCCAACAACCCTTGCAGGTGGGGTGCCTGGAAAGCCCATAAAGCAACCTTCTCACCCTGCGACTGTACCTGGTATGGGTGTTTATGGCACGCCAATAGGGCAACCAATAGGTGGGCCTCTTGTATCTGCTGTGGGAACCCCAGTGAACCTACCTGCACCAGCTCATATGGCCTATGGGGTTAGGGCGCCAGTGCCAGGATCCATTGTACCAGGTGCCCCTATGAACCTTCAGCCGATGGCTTACCCTATGCCCCAAAGGTGAGATCAAGCGCATGCCCTCCTCTCGACATGTAAAAAGGAGAGGGAGAGAGAGTGGTCACTTTGGATGGAGATTTGGAGTATTTTTGCACAAAATAAGGTACACATTTTTCAAATGATGCAAAGGCTGCCTTCTAGAGTGGTGTTAATGCTTATTTATGTTGGGGGGTGACGCCACTGGAGGATGAAGATGAGAGTTTAGGCATTCTCAAATGAGCTTTATGCTGCTGATATATTATGGTGGATCGAAGATAAAATGAGAAAGTTCTGGTGTTTTTGTGGTCTTGTCAAGGAGAGAGCTTTCCAACTTTTTTTTTTTTTTGTATATGCGAGTTATAAAGAAAGGGTTGGGTTATGTGCTCCATATTTAGGTATTTCTGTTCCAATTTTCCTTTTTCTTTCTAGCTTTTTAAGTCTGTATCCATTGTTGTAAGGCTAGATGTGTTGTGGCCCTAAGGCCCTTGATAGAGGACAGCTATTGAAGCCAACATATCTCATTGGGACCCCTATGTAGTACTTTGCATATGAGATTCTTGTTATCTTGCTACTTTTGGTCCATGCTATAGTGTTCTAGGGTTTTGCACTAGTACGGTGTCAGTGGCAGCCCTACCCTAAAAATGTAGGGCCTGGGCAACAAATTGTTGCCCAAGGGCCTGGTTAGGGCTAATCCCTGCCCGACACTTTTTTTTCCTTCTTTTTTCTTTTATTTTTCTTCATTTGTTTTTGGCCTGGCCAGGCTTGGCCCTATGGGGACAAGGGTTGAGCTAGGGGTCATGGTTAGCCCGGCCCATTGAGATGTAGTGTTGCGAATGTTAATTTCTAACTACCTAAACCCAAGCCTTATTCCTATTAGTAACAGTAATAATGAGTTAATGATTTTCATTAATTGTTATGTTAGATAAGGGCAGAACCACGTAAATGTGCTCCTGCTCCTGGCTATTTTCCTGTTTTGGCTCCTTTGTGCAAAAGACTTAACTCCTGTGGGAGCATGTGTTCCTGTATTGGCTTCTTTGTGCTCCTGCGGGAGCATGTGCTATGCGCTTACTTCTTTGGAAAAAGGACTTGCTAAGAATTTTATTGGTCTTAGAATTTTGGTTTGTTATAAATTTGGATCCGTCTAATTGCTCATTACTATTACCACTACTTCTCCATACTACTACTAATAGTGCGCACTCCTACTTATAATGCTGTTAGTGTTGCTGCTGCTATTAATAATAATAATAAATTTTTTTTTTCAAAAAATAAAATAATAAAAACCATTACTGTTACTACTACTGCTACTCTACTACTGCTACTTCTAACAACGGCAACCACCACTCGTACTACTAACAGCAGCAACAACAATAATAGTAATAAACAACAACAATAATAAAGTTGTTCTAGGGGTTACATTCTCGAATTTGGGGGTCCTAAAAATAACTAGGGGGATGTATATTATGCTTCCGTGGGTGCAAATAATCTCTTGGCCCATGAGAACAGCAAAAGTAGTTCATAGGCATATATTTCAACAAGGTAAAGCTTTTTTTTTTTTCACGTCAAATGTCACCATATTTATTTGCATTGAATTATCAGGCAACTGGGACAAAGTAGAGTTGGAATATGAAACCAAAGCCTTGAAAACCACTTCATAATAGTTTGTGCAATCAATATATATATATATATATAAAGAGAGATGCACGTATGATCTTTGACCTGAAAGAAAACTAGAGAGAGATGCACGTATGTTCTTTGAGATAAGAGAGATGTAAAGAGGACAATCTAAAAAAGGCAAGCGAGAGGAAATTTCATTTGCATAGATCACCCCTACCAAAATTGAAGTCAAATACTTGGAAGTAGGGCAACTACACAAAAAAAAAAAGTGGAAGGCTGTGTGTAGTTTCTCCCCATAAACTACATTTCTTTTGGACTTTCAGAGTAATTAATAGCACACTTCTAAGTATTTGACTTCACATTTGATGGTTAGGACCTGACCAGGATCGTTCATCCCAAAAACCAGGTTGGATTGGCTGATTTAGATCGCAAAGATTCGGCATTAAAAATTTTAAAAAATTCTTTGAAAAGCTATTTTTATTATTATTAAAAAAACAGTAGTACAGTATAGTCTTTTTAATTTTGTTGAAAATGCAAAAGTACTGAAAACTTGTCTCATATTTGAGTGTCTATTATCCATTATATTTATTTTGTAGTCAAATGAAATTTAAAATGTAACTCATTGCAATAGAATGGATCTCTTTTAACTCAAATTTATAGTGAAAAAAGAAGAAGAAGAAATATATAATAGTTTTGGACATATTGATTTAATAGAGAAAAAAATAAGGGTATGATCCTCACAAATAAATAAATCTAACATTCAACAATTAGTGTGGACAAAAAAATTAGAAACATAAATTTGTAATTATGTTTAAATAAAATTAAAATAAATAAATTCATACTTGCAATGTAGAATAATTGATAAAGCAATTTGAAAAGAGATTCTAAAGTGGTATGAGGTAATGTTATTTTTCTCTTAAAATATCCCATAAACTAGTATGTTTTTAATGTTCAATAAACTTGGTTTAGTATTTTTTTTCTTTTTAATATCCTATGAGCTAATACTATTGTTTTTTATCTTTTTAACCCCAATGAACTGGTAGCCTAATAATAATCCCATGAGCTAATGCTACTGGACGTAGTTTTTATTCACTACAAAGCCATGACATAATCCGAGTACGTTTTGTTTCTTGCAGCTCTGCAACTCTATCTGGAGAGTAAAAGGGTGAAAGGGAAAAAGAGGACGGGAGAGAGTGCCATGGAGTGTGCTTGTTATAAATTCATTTTCTTAGAAAAAGAGAAGAGGGTTGAGTCACAGAAGAGGTGAAAAAAAAAAAACGAGATAGAGGGAGAAGATTTTACGACTCCTCCAGTTTTTTTTTACTGGCTACAAAACACGTAAATTATCTTTGGATGAAATTTTGTATAATATTTTTCAATGAAATATAAATAAATTAAAAAATATATAATTTTGAGTTCTCAAAGGCCTAGATTTATCATCCGCCAAAACGAGGTTCTTTATTCAACTTAAATGGCATACTGATTTTCCACATTCTTTTGAGCCAATCTTTCTTTCTCGTTTTTGATATGGTAACAAACATTTCTTCTGCAAATCTATTTTCCATTTATTTTCTTTCTTTTGATCACTTGGATGAGATCTACCGGTCTAATGGACTCATATTTTCCAATACGAATGATTCAGAAAATAAGAAACATTTATTGTGCAAATCTATTTTCCAAGTTATTTTCTTTCTTTTGATCACTTGGATGAGATCTACCCGTTTAATGGATTCATATCTTCCAATACGAATGATTCAGAAAATACCGATTCGACCATTAAGTTATCTTTGGAGAAACATCCAATTAAACTGGAACCGATTCTATTCGAAATTGCCTGAGTCGGGCCCCGATTCTGATCTTTTCAAGGATAGACTTATCTACAGTGTAATCCCATAACCCACTATCTCACATGGCAATGAGCTGGCAATGCTTGCTTGATATACTATCTACATGGATCGTAGCATTTACACGTAATGTGGGAGCCAAATGGGCCCTTATCACCATTCTTTTTTTTGCTTTTGAAGCAATCCTTAGATTCCAAATTCCTTTTTTTGACCAACACAAAAGGCGTGAAGAGAATCTTATCACACCCTCCCTTCAACTGAGTTATGGTTGCTGTAGATGATTTGGATTCGTATCATATCAAAACGGATTTAGGATTGGATTCATATCGTTTTAGAACTGATTAGATACCTGTAAGTACTACCTTCAAATCGGTGATCCGCATCGGATATCATTGGATTGGGTTTTAAACGGTGTTGCTTAGCTTTTATTAGGATCACCTCACTTAAAGCATTAAGAAAGGACAGTATCTTGTATACTTTTTGTTTTTAAAAGCTTTTAAAGGTGCCAGTCATGGCCTTGGCCAAAGATCCTTACTATCATGCCATAGGAAATACACGTTGAAGAAATTTGCCTCTCTCTCTCTCTCTCTCTCTCTCATTTCCCTCATTCCCTCACAATTCATGCACAATCAATCAATGCTGTTTCAGCATCGATGCTTTACACCAAAAAGGTTGGGTTTATTCCTTATCATCTAAGCATGATTCTACCGACCTACACTTCTCCTTTATTCTCTCTCTCTAAAAGGTTCCCAACTCAATCCATCTCCTACCTTTCTCTCACTACAAAACTAGAGAGAGAGAGAGGGAGTCCCCCTCCTCCATTTCTCTCTCATCACAAGCCATCTTCAATTGAAGTCACAGTGAATAATGGAGGACCAAAAGCCATCTCCACCAGAGTTCCATGATCATGTTTTAGGAATCCCTGTGGAACCTGTAACCCATTCTAGTGATAGAAAGAGAAACAGGACCATGCTAGACCCTGGTGTACCTGAAACGCCTAATTCTGCAATTCTAAATACCAATCCTTATCTTCACCATCCTTTGGCAAATGGGTTTCCTCAATCTAGACAGAGTAAACTCTCAAATCTTCTACAAATTCTCTCCTTTCTATCGGGTATTATTCGGCTCAATTTCCCTTGTGCTAATGAAGAAATTAGGATTATTAGGTCTTTTCTGAGCCATTTCTTTTGTGGTTGAAATTCGCAGCTAAAATTGAACGCACCATTGAAGGTTTTAACCAATGCTATCGAAGCACAGACTCCCTTGTCCATGGTATTTCTGAGCATGGTAAGTACTGTACTAAAACTCGGGTGGTTCCGAAACTTGGGTGAGTCCACCCAGACTCGCTTGAGCTTTTCGGACACATAAATGTGCCAACTCCGAGTAGGAACACCGTGGCCGGTTCCTAGTTTTACCTTGTGGACTCGGCGGAGTTTGTATGGACCCCTCGGACTCGGGACTCAGCCTAGTTTTTTTATATCGATAAAAACTTAAATTTTGTGGGGAAGCAATACACTTTTAAACATAATTTGTATTTATCTTTTCCTTATGGAAAAAGTTGATACAAGGGCCTTAAATGCACACTTCAAAAATTCACTATAAGAGGTTGTTTTGATTCCCAAAATCTTCAAATCGATTATCTCGACTTCAAGATGTATAGATATATCTTAAAAATAATTGTAATGCATTTTCTAAACCATCAATTTTGAAGATTTTTAGGTCTTCATAGTTCTACTCGATATACACTTTTTTTGAACTTTTAAAATTTACAATTAGAAATAAAAATCAAGTTTTAGGCCATCACAAAGTTTTCCAATACACTGTAGGAAGGTGGGCTTTACTTTGATTGCTTAATGCCTAGGCCGTATACAAACCACACTCTTTTTTTATTTCCTCCAGGGAATCATCTTGTTCTTTACTATTTTTACACAAAATTCTGAATTACCACGGATTTTACTCATGCTATGCGTTTTTTTTTTTTTGTTTAAGCATTTACAATGTTCAAAACAATTTAATTTCAATTTTCATCTATTTATGTTATTTTTTTATTCTGTCAGTTAAGATGGGGGAAAATATCTCTGATATTGTGAAGGATAAGCTGAGCTTGGGTGCTGCAATTATAGCAGAAGGAGGGGTAGAGAGAGTTTTTAGGTCAAGTTTCAAAGTTGGTGATGAAGAGAAGCTGATAAAGACAAGTCCTTGTTATCTCTCCACAACGACTGGCCCTGTCTCAGGGTTGTTGTTTATTTCTAATGAGAAGGTCTATTTTTGCAGTGATAGGCCTCTCACTTTCACTGTCCCTGCTGGAGGATTGCTTTCTTCTCACTATAAGGTTGTATTCATTTATCATTTATTGCTCTCCCTCCCTCTCTACCTTCAAAACTGGTTCTTGAGCATTTAAAATACAAAAATTTGTCAGAAATACATCTAACACATGAACTCTTTAGCATTTTATTTCATTTAATTAATTTCAAGGCCCATTGAAAGATACATGATCATGTGTTAAGAGTAGTTGAAAAAAAAGTAAAAGCTAAATAGTTTGTAACAAATGATAATCAAAATATAACGACTTTATAACAGATACAGCGGCAATACCATTTTTTCTGCAATTATATGCAATGAAATCATTTATTTTCATACATAGAAGTCACAAAGACCCAAGTTGAGTGATGTAAAATTGGATGGCTCGGTTGTCATTCCTTCGCCTACAATTGAAGGAAAACTAGAACAGTTTTACCCAAACTCTGTCCCATTCAATAGCACACCTACCTTCAGCCACTTGATTTTACATCTGATGGAAAAGGATGATTATGTTTTCTTCCCACCTCGTTCTTATTTTTTCTCGAAACTAAATAAAGGAAATTAATTGACATCTTGCCAATAAATAATGTCTACTATAAACCTCAAAATTAGAGTGGTAGATAATTATAAACATACAAAATTTCAAAATACCAATATTTCATCAAATTATGGTACAGTTCTACATATTGAGCACGTATGAGAGAGAGCAAGGCCTAATTCATTAAAATAACTGCAATTTTCTGATAATTTTAGCCTTTCCTTTTCATTGTCCGCCAAAAGGAAAAAAAAAGCCCTATTTTTAACCATGTTTAGTGCCAACTGCCGAAGTTACTTTGAAAGAAAAGCAGATGTGGATGGGTCTGAGAATAGGAGTGGGAATGGGCCAGGTGGCACGGTCTAGCTCAGCAGGTCCGGTCCAATTCGACCACTGTTTTTTCATCTTTTTTGAATTGTTTTTTTTTAATTTTACCCGACGCTGATCAGGGCACGGCCAGCCCTAAGGGGAATAAGACCCGGCTAGGGCTCCACCCGTTGTCGGCCCTAATTGAGAATTGCCTCCTAAGATGCTAAAAGTTCGATTTGTGTGCTTTCTGTTTACAGGTTGTGATACCATTGGGAAGGATTATGGGTGCAAACCAAGGGGAGAATGTGAAGAGGCCAAAAGAGAAATACATAGAGATTGTTACAGTTGATAATCACGAGTTTTGGTTCATGGGTTTTGTTAATTATGCCAAAGCCTTTGAATATCTGAGCCAAGTCATTTCCAAGTACTCTAAAAGGCCTCATGCAAATTTTTGAAAGTAAGGATCCTAAAAAATATGGATGATGTAAAACTTTTTTTTTTTTCCCTGTCCATAATGGTTAATATTATTTATATGTGAACCTATGTTTGTTATATAAGGCTCAATTCCTACCAGGGTAGACGCCTTCTCCTCACTGACTCACCCAAAAAAAAATTTACTTGCCAAAAATAACCTATGTTTGTTATATCATTGAATAGTTGAATTTATGTTAATCGTGTATGGAAGTATGCTAATTGCTGAAATATCGAGTGAAGATTCATTCTGTGGATGATGAATGGATGATAAGAGGGAGTGTAAGCCTCTCAACAAGGCTAACGTGCACTTCTCAAAGTTATTTAAGTAACGACAATTTTTCAATAAGTCGAGGACTCATCTATTTAAATGAGTCTTCTCTCCTAAATTTGTTTTAAAATTTCGAAGGATAAAAATGTCAACCATGACGAGTAGGAACCCCGAAAAGAAATTAAAAATAAAAAATAAAAAAAATTGACAATTTATACACGGGTTGATTTTATAAAAAGTATGGTTGGTATAGAGCCAAAGCTCTAAACAAACAAAATAAAGCCCACCTTCAAACTTCAAATAGTATGTGGTTTCATTGCGTAAAATCCTTGGGATAGCCTTAAAATACATTTTCATCTTCAATTATAAAATTAAAATTTTAAAAAAAAAAATGTAAATGGAACAAGAACTTAAAAATCTTAAAAATTGACCGTCCAAAAATGCATTACAAGATGCACTATTTCCAAACTTGAAATCCATTTATTTCTTATGTCCATGCATCTTGATGTCGAGATGATCAATTTGAGAATATTTGAGTATCAAAACAACTTCTAATGTAATTTTTGAGGTGAGCTCTAATTTGATTGTTTAGAGCCTCGGCTCTATACAAACTTTTTCCTCTTATAAAAATGTTAAAGGCCATCATTTGCTCCCAACACATGCACTAGAAGTGAGTCAATCCCTAGCATAAGACCCTATTGGTTACTAAAATAAAAAACCTATTGGTCACTAAACTCAACATCTAGATCAGCTTAAAAGAATAACCAAACATACCCTTTACATGCTTAAAAAAATAACATCCCTAAGATAGAAAAGAGATCATCCAATTTTACGACAGATAGTTCTAAATATTTACTAATTCAAAATCTAATTCTTTCTTCCAAAATACTGATTTTGTGGTTCTAAAATGGATAAAAAAATTGAATAAAAAACATTCCTCCTATATAAAGCCCGTTTGTCCAAGAAGTAAATACATAGCATGCTCCAAAGCAATTGTTAAAATATCCCATTGGTATTCTCTGGGTATTTTGCTTTGTACATTCCATAAAAAAGTCCAAGGTGCTCCGTGAAAGCACCAGCACAAGAATACATTACACAAATACAACCTCCCCTAAATAGTGCTCCACAGAAAGCAACACATATATCCCATGAGAAAATCCCATCACCCCATTTCCATGTGTTCATTAAATGCTCTTTATATCCATCACTGGTAATTTAGCTATATCAAAGCCCAAGTCCAAACTAATGTCAGTTACAAGAGAACCTACAAATCTAACTGTGAAAGAGAGAGAGAGAGAGAGAGAGAGAGAGAGAGAGAGCATGCATGAAGATGTATGCAAACTAAAATTCGATGAGATATACACATATATCTCAAAATATTACCTCAGAAAGGCTGCCAATGAAATTCACTTTACATGATTTCGGAAAGTGCAGACCGGCTTGCTCGCAAGCCTCCGGTGTAAGATGAGGGCACGATCTGATGTCCAAATACTCCAAATTTTGACACACTTCAACCAAAACACTGATCCCCAGAACCGTAATTCCAGGGCAACTACTTGCCTTCAAAACCCTCAAAGACAACCCCTTCAAGCCTCCAAAAGCCATATCAGTCACCTCATTACAACACCCAATATCTAAAACCTCAAGATTATCACACTTTGAGAGCACAAAGCTTACAGCAGAGTCTGAGATATTCAAACACCACTCCAACTGCAAATTCTTGAGGTTCTTGTTGCATGAAGAAGCCAATCGTTTTATAGACTCATCTGTGATGTTTCTACAACCCCCAACATTTAGAGTTTCGAGATCTGGGCAAGACTCCGCCAAGGAAAACAGGGTTTCATCACCAATATTAGAACAGTCCTGAAGCTTAAGGGTGATAAGAGAAGGGCACGCCTTTGAGAGCTTTGAAAGCCCAATATCTCCAATTTTGGAGCATTTGCTAAGGTCAAGGAACATGATTAAATGGCACCCATCTGCTAAAGCAGAGACACCAGAGTCAGTAACATTGATGCAACCCTGTAAACCTAGTTCTTCCAGAAACCGAGAGTTCTTGGACAAGGCATGTAATAATGAGTCAGAAACTGATTTGCAACCAGATAGGTGTAAGCTTCTTAATTTATGACACCCTTCAGAAATGGCAATGAAGCCTTTGTCTGTCAATTTACGACAATGGGAAGCATCTAAACTTTGCAAATGCGAAAGACCTCGAGCAAGCGCCTTCAATCCAGTGTCTGTAACTCCTGTAAATTCTCCGAAAAGTTGTAGAAAGAAGTTAGAAGAATCAGGTTTGTAGGGCTTTGGGACATAAATGAAAGTAAGCATAAACAGACTTCATATTCTAACATGAAATGAAATGCAGTACAAGCCTAATATGGGTGATGGACTAGATCTGCTGTCATAACCCCTACACAATCATAGACATCATCTTCAAATGAACATATCCCTTCATAACCCCTACACAATCATAGACATCATCTTCAAATGAAGATATCCCTTCAAAACTTTAAGGCGTCTTATATAGTATGATATTTGAGAATAGAAAATCAAGCGTAAGAGATGCAACATATTGGGAACAGCAAGTACTGGATTTACAACAGGATATATAGAAGTACTTGTTCAATTTTGGGCAGCTATCACTGGCTTGCCTTGTTGGCTACGTGGCCTTCGGAGCAAAGAAACCGTAATACCGTATTGTCTGGTATCAACTACCAAGAGGCAATGATATGAGAGAATGGGAACATATTCCAGGAGGGGACGGAAAAGGAAAAGGGAAACAACCAATGTAAGCTGTAGTACAGAAAGATGAATTTAAAAGCGGTGAGCACAATCCACATTTATGGCATTTAGTTTCCTTGTAACGAGTAACTTTAAAAGCACATAGATCATTAAATTTTTCTAAGGTACAAAAATTATCACCTTATTCACATATAAGGTGCTATGTTCATATGTCAATGTGTGTAATAATAAACAAGGCAATACAGAGAAGGATACAATGAACATTGTCATTAAAGGTGTGCCATGAATGCATAGCACAATCGAATCAAATTTCCTCAGAAATTAATCAGCTTACGGGGCCTTTCAATTTTATAAAAAATGAAAAAGCTTGTACAAGAAATTGAGAACTAATAACTATAATTATTACTCCAATTAGAGGAACTGAGAGACTTCATAAAGTGTCACAGTTTCTCGGAACTCCAAAATTTTCTACCAAGAAGTTCACAAGAGCTCATTGCCCTGAAATTATTGGTCAACACACTCAGCTCTCTCTTTTTTCTTTCTTTTCTTTTTTTTTTTGGTTAGTTCATCAGATTCAACATTCTCTCAAACTCTCAAATTTTGAAGAAACTCTCACGAACTTATGATTACTGATTCCTAGTCCCTCAAGCAAGATAAGTTTATTTGCGCTTTTTTCTTTTTATGTGGGATGGGGGTGTGTGTAGCGGGCTGAGGTTAGGTAGGCTGGTTCAGAAAAGACCTACCCCTGTATCCCGTAAGATAACTATTTAAATGGTGGATTCCTTTAACACCTTGCACAATGTGCAAATTTCCTACAACAATGTATACCCACTAAAGCTATATTTCTGAGGCCTCATTGCTTTCCACTCTCCTATCACACGTTACAGGTTCCAAACAATACAAACCAATGACTCTTACTCTCTAACTTCACAAAAAAGAAAATCCCCTAATAAGTAGCACCCATGTAAATACAAAGATATTCACCCACCATTCAATATCATGATTTGAATCGCCACATCGACATAATTTCATGACTTCTCTTCCAACCCCAAGATATTTACCCTCATTAGACTCAGGCACCTTTTTAAGTCAATAGTCCATTATGATGCATCAAGCATTTCTTTTCTTTCTTTGATGAATTCTGAAACATCAAGCATTTGCTTTGCATAATGACAATCAATAAATACCTTCATTGAGTAACACAATTTTCAGGATAGAAAAATGGGCTCCTTTTATGAGTAAAAATAAAATTAAAGGAAAAATAAAGATCATTAAGGAGATACAAGCAGCCTCAAAGTCCAAAGAATCACAAAAATTTTCATCAGCACATTATAACAAGGAAGAGAATAAGAATCCCATCTTTCAGATAGACACATACACACAACCTCGTATACAGGAAGCCATGAAATTCTAATTCTCATGATATTTTCACTAGCTCAGCCATATACAAATCAGTATAAAGGGAATTGAGTTGCCCTGAGTTGTATGTACCACTCGGGGTACATGAAAAAATTTCAAAAATCCAAAAAAAAATGGAAAATTGTGGGATAATGGGAATGTAGCATAAATTTAAAGATTATTGGTACTTTTTAAACTTGCTTTTGATTTTATTTCACTTTTCCTACCTTTATTGTATTTTTCGTACTTTTTTTTTTAATTTTTTCCAGGGCTTTTGGCCCTGTACGGGACTCAGGTGAGTCCACCGCTGAGTAACTCAGGCCAGGGCCGAGTACCCGGCCTGAGGCGAGTCCCATAAAAATGATACAAATCCAAACAGATTCACAGCAAAAAACAAATACAAAGCCTGGTTGAGAAATTAAAACATGCTTTTCGCAAGGAAACTGCAGTTTTGATCCTTATTTCTTCACAAAAAACAGAAAAAAGTTAACCATACCGAGTTAAACATCAACACAAGCAAATAAATGAGAAGGCAAAATTTCAAGGATAAATCCTAGACATTCACAAAGACTGGCAACAATTAAACGCCTTTTTTTCCTACTTAAAAATTCTAACACAAGGGTTTTTCCACATAGCTTAAATTTACCAACCAAAGGCCCATATTTCTAATTCCTAAAGAAAACCAACACCACAAAGAAGGGTTTAAACCAACCTATCAAAACCCTCAATGCAAAAGCCGATAAAAAAAAGCCGACATTTACAAATGAGACCAGACCTACTAAAAAATCAATTATGCAGAAGACCAAGAATGATTCTAGACCTTCCTCCTATAAAACCAGGCTTAGCACATATAATAATCCAGTTAAAAAAAGGGTTTAAAGGCACCAATATAAAACCTGTTGCCAAACAAAAACAATTGCCAAAGAATTTTTTTTTCTAATTTTAGTAATCTGAACCAATAATCATCAACCAAGAAGGTGGAAATTTACCAATCTCAACCCTACTTCCTCACAAAATCAGACGATTTCAGCAGTCCAAACCCAAATTCCTAACAAATCCAAAAAAACATACAAAATCTTAACACAATTAACCCAGACCCCACTTCCTATACAAAAACACAGAGAAATCATCATTAAATATCCATGTACATGCACATAAAAATATCAATTTTTTACGAAACCAATAACCGGTTCCTCAAAAAACAGATAGGTAAAAAGTTAAAATCGCTAATATCAAAAAAACCCAATACAAAAAAATAAAAATAAAAAATAAAAAGGATAACTAATATGATCGTACCTTTACAATTTTGCAGATTAAGGAACTGCAAGCTCTTAAACCCCTCAGCTATCACAGAGAGATCAGCATCAAGAGTTCCCGGATAAAATGATCTCGATACAGACTGAGAAATATCCAATTCTCTCGCTCCTCTAAACCTCCGAGCTATTCTTTCGAGCATCACTGGCCCAGCTCTAACACAAAGCTTCTTTCTCTCACTGCTCTGCAGCATCAACCATTTTTTGCACACGAGGCCAAAGCTATCCCTATCCCTTTCGCTCTGCAACTTTGATAGTATAGCCCTGAGCTCATCATCGGTAAGGGCATCGTTTATGCAAACCCTAGTTTCTCTCTCCGCGATCGAGGTTCCCATCGTCACGAGTACAGGGAGAAGCCTGGGCTCGCTGTATAGAGAGAGAAACAGTCTGGTTTCTGGTGGGGTTTGGTGAGTTGGAGTTACCAGTACAGCAGGTGTCAATGGGTTATAGAGAGAGAAGAGGGAGAAATTTTAGAGAGAGAGTTCTGTAGAGAGAGAGAGGGGTTTAGAATGGACGGTACAGATCACGTTACGATACGAGGGAACGTAGAACTTCTATGTTGTTGGGAAAAATAGAAAGTTTTTCGGTTTTAAAAATTATAAAGATAATACGATAAAAGTGAAAATAGAACTTTTATGATGTAAGGAAATATAAAAAAAAAGTTTATTTCGAAAATTATACGGACGGTTGGATAAGATGGAACATAAAAACTATGTTGAAAGGGACTATAGAAAGCTTTCCCATTTCAAAAATTGTACAGATCAAACCAATCTATGTGCACTGAATAATTTGAAAATAGATAGTTCATATTATTATTATAAAGTGTTGAAGGTTCTTTTTCCAATAAATATGCCTAAGAAAATATTCCACACCAAAATTTAATCGAAGTAATGCAAACCTCCAAACTTTATCGTGAGATGTAATTTTGGTGTCGAATATTTTTAAGATGGTCAAAGAATCTACTCAAAAAATCTACTTTCATCTCTAATTAAAAAAAGGACCAGGCCAAGCCCGCATATGTCAAAATATGGGCCTCTTAATAAATATGTTTTTGAGATAGATTTTTTAACTTAATTTTGAAAGACACGTAATATCTAACATGGAGATCATGAATATGAAAAAATAAATAAATGTTAAAAATGAAAAATCGTAATTCATTAGTTTCCATTGTTTTTAGATGGAACACCTACTTGCATCCATCTTCAAGATAGATGCTTTATTCTTTTTGGACCGAATATGTAGTCATGCGATCTAGCCTGCATGAAACAATTTTCCTTAAAAAAAATTAAGCTCCAAAAATATTTCAAATCAATCAAATCTATAACCGCATTACAATCCTGAAAATAGTCAATCTAAATAATGTGTAGCAAGATGTACTATTTTTGGACCTGAAATCTTTATTATTTTTTGTCATATTTATCGTTTTAGACTTTACATGGAGATATTTGGAAAATAAAAAGGACGTAATGGAGAGAATTCCATGATTATCCTGAAATTCTAATATAGAAAAAATTCATAGAATATTATAATTTGATGGTACAAAAATATATAGAATATTATAATCGAAAAAAGTTTATATAAAGTTAAGGCTTTAAACAATCAATTGGAGCCCACCTCAAAAATTTTGTTAGAAGATGTTTTGATACCCAAATATTCTCAAATTGATCATCTCCATTTCAAGATGTATGGACATGAGAAAAAAATAGATTTCCAGTTTTGGAAGTAGTGCATCTTGTAACACAATTTTGAACGGTCAATTTTCAAAATTTTCAAGTTTTCATAGATTGGCTCAATCTACACTATTTTTTAAGCTTTAATTTTTTATTATGAAAAATAAAAATATATTTTAAGGCTATCACAAAGATTTCCAAGTATTGAAACCATATTTCTAGACACTATTTTAAGGTGCGCTTTACTTTGATTGTTTAGAGCCCCTAAGATCATAAAGATAAAATAAAATTAATATTTTTACAAAATAAATTTTTGGATTAAACAAATACTATTTAATTGTTTTGATGGTAAGATCCAGAGTATTTAGGAACTATGATCCTTATAGAAACCGCACCCCTTTATTATTATTATGATCCTTTCTTGAGGGAGATGCAATTTTCAAAGAAAGGTCCATGGTAGAGGTTAAAAGAAAAGAGTTCACAGTGTACTCCCCCAGGACGACATAAACTATTTTTTGTCAAAAGGAATTTAGCTCCTAAATACTCTGCTTGGATCTTACCATAACAAAAAAATTAGATGGGTGCGGTTTCTGTAAAGTTGCAACCTTAAACACTTCAATTAAGACGCACCTAAAAGTTTGATCATAACATGTAATTTTGTTGTAAAACATTATTAGGATTATCTTAAAATCTATTGTTATATCTAATTATAAAATTTTAAATTCTAAAAATGATTAAAATCTAAGTAGATTTATAAATATATGAAAATCTTGAAAATAGACGGTCTAGATAATTTGTGTTGCAAGATACACTATTTTTGAGACTCAAAAACTTTTTTTTTTTCATATTCATACATTTTGATATCGAGATGATTGATTAAAGGGTTTTTCAACATCAAAACAACATTTCTAATAGATTTTTAAAATACATATTAAGGTTGTAACCTTATATAAACTTTTTTTTATACCTTTTTCGCAGTCTAATTGAAGCAAATGCAGTATCTAACGTACCTAGAGATTGGCCAAACGACCTTCCCCCAGAAACAAGCATCTCTCTCCTCTCTTTTGCACCAATAAAGAGGACCCAGGTCTCTGTTTCATTTCCTTCTCTTTAAAATAAGGACGTTTTGCCTTCATACAATTGATGTCATACTAACTAAAAATCACATTCGAGTACTTAAATGTTGAGTGCCCCATTTCAAATCTCAACCAACCTACCCTTGAAACTCTCTCTCTCTCCTCTCCTTTGCCCTACCATGAATATCTTATTAGCTTTATATGGCCTTTAAATGCTTTATGATTGTTAATAAAAATGAAATGATATAGTGGAACATAAACTTAAGTAGGAGTGTGGTCTCTCATGGACCATATTAAACAAACGATGTTTGCTGATACCGGACTGTGATTGATGATCTAGGCCAGTCGGTAAAAAAAAACACATGTTACCTGAGCATAAAGAACAAACCGAGAAGTGTTCTAAATATGTTAGCCCTTGATGAAGTCAAAGAATATGCCCGGATGAGTGAGTCGAGGGACTGTATGACCCTTGTGTGTGATGGTGGCCTACAGAGACAGGGGCCAAGGCCTCATTCATGTGTCATCACACGGCATACATATCAATAGATCGTTTGGGAAAGCCATAAATCTACCTTTTAGAGTAAAGCGTATGCATGTGAGAGAAATACCATTATGCACCATATGAGTTGTGGTCGCATCAGGTCTTAATGACCTTGACTAGTCTCTAGGAGAGGACTTGAAATCCACAGCCCTTGTATGTGATGGTGGCCTACAGAGACAGGGGCCAAGGCCTCGTTCATGTGTCATCACATGGCATTCATATCGATAGATTGTTTGGGAAAGCCATAAATCTGCCTTTTAGAGTGAAGCGTATGCATGTGAGAGAGATACCATTATGCACCATATGAGTTGTGGTCACATCAGGTCTTAATGACCTTGACTAGTCTCTAGGGGAGGACCTAAAATCCACAGACTGGGATTGCGACCCTTTGGCTCATTGGCCAGACTTTAGTAATCTGTTAATGAGCCCCTGCTTGAACTGTGGGTCATGGGAAACACTAGGTCGGTCTAATAAAGCAAGTGTGATCTGTAGTCCACAGTTGAAAGTAGAGTGCCATATGATTGTTGATTCCTAAACTATATGGATCATTTTCCCATTAAATTCATTTAATTGTGTTTGTTTTACGATAAAAATTATTTTAGGATTATTATTTGAATTTTTTTGAACCCTTGGATATTTTATTTATATTTTTTAGATTTATAAAATTAAAGATATTGATTTTACAATGGATTAAATATTCAAATAATATTATAAAATCATTTTATTAATGTTAAATACATAAAAATATTATGGGGGCCCATTGTACACATAAGCCCACCATATTTCTAGAAGGTGGGGCCCATGAGTGCCTCCCTTAGGTGGCACGCCCCACCCTTATTATCTTTCTTATTTTTTGGTGATATGGCATATAGCAATATGGTTGAAAGATATTAAATAAATATTGACTTGATGTGTCTTTAAAAGATTTTGTGGAAAGATTGAGTATACTTGTGTTATTTTATGGTATGCACAATATTTTGATTAGATTTAATTTATTTAATTTATATTGATGGGAAAATGATCTAAGAAATGAGGATAAAGGTTTATGCACCGTCTATAATGTTATCGCCAATCTATGGAATTGATAGCTCAAATTTCTCACCCCACACGTCACCTAAGATCAATGGTTCATATTCAATATCACAAGAAGATGCAAGCCAAAGAAAATCCTAACAAAGCCTAATCTTATTCAAAATCTATAAAAAGAGATTTTTTCAACTCAAAAATCTCTACACCTTATATCTTATACCCAATTCTTATATTTCTCTCTCATATCCTAAAAAAGGGGCACACCCCACTTAGAAATTCTCTCTCTTTTAAGAAAAGCGTTTCTCTCTCATGAAAGCCAAAGGGGACACACACCACTTTTTTATCTTTGATCTCTCTCTCCCACATTGTGAAAGAACCTAAGGGTTTAGGTTATGGAGTTATTCTCTCTCTTATCTTTCAACTATATATTTATGATTATGGGTTTTAGGGTTTAGCAAAAAGATATTTCATCTCTGTCAAACTAGGTTGCTAAGAGAATTCACCTAGGGTTTGATTTTATGATCAAATGGGTTCATGTTCTATTGGTGTGGCTTGACCTGCTTTCCCGGTTGAGATTGAATGTTGATCAATGATCCCACGCCATCGGATGGTGGTAACTCGGTGTGAGGTGTAATAAACCCGGTTGAGGTAATCTCCGGCACTCTTCATTTTGTTTATTGCAATTTTATCTTTTATTCTCAAGCATAGTCAATAGTTGTTTCAATGACATCAAGTTGTTAAGATATTAGTTTTATTGTTAAGTTGATTTTATTTTGAAATTTATATTATTGTAATAAAAACTACTTGTAAGTTATCTTTTACCAAAAGGGTGAAGAAAAGGAAAAAATATATTATCCGATAAAAGATCACATAGATCTTTCTTTCATATCCCTCACAGAATACATCCCAATCATGACTCTCTCCCTTCAGGAAAAGTTTTTTTATATAAGGGTCAGGCCCTAGACAATCAAATTAAAATTAAGGGGCACCTCAAAAATTCACTAGAAAATGTTATTTTGATGCCCAAAAAATCATCAAATCAATCATCCTAACCTCTAGATGTACGAACGTAAGAAAATATACATTTCAAGTCTTGAAAATAGTGCATTTTGTAATGCATTTTTTGGAGCATCTTTTTTTTAGATTATGAAATGTTCATAGACACGCTCGATCTACATTATTTTTTACTCTTTCAACTTTATAATTAGAGATGTAAATAATTTTTAAGCCATTACAAATATTTTTATTACCGGAATATCATCTTTCAACACCATTTCAGGCCCCTCTTTCTAACCTACCCATGAATCATGATTTCTATCCCTCATTCTCAATCCATGTGGTTAACTCTACCATGACTCTCTCTCTAACCTACCCATGAACCTCTATTTTTTTCTCTCTCTAACCCACCTATGAACCACTGTTTTTTCTCTCTTTCTCTAACCCACCATGAACCTCTTTTTCTTATCTCTCTGGCGTGGAGAATCAAAGACCGCCACTATCTTATCTTCAAAGGGAAAGGATGGAAACAATAATCAAATTGAAAAGACGCCGGATCCAAAATCAATCATCACGAGCACCAGGATGCTTTATGTCTGGGACGTAGGCCAAGCCTGTACAAATGCGGGCTTCTAATAAATCTATTTTTGAGGTTGATTTTAAACCTTTGCTTTTTTAAAAACATGTAATATGAACGTCATGAATATGAAAAATAAATGAATTTAAAAGATTAAAAATAATTATTCTAGTAAGAAAACATTTGGACCATTAGTTTCCATTGTTTTTAGATGGAACACCTACTTGTATCCATCTTTAAAATGGATGCTTTACACTTTCTTGACCGCATACATAGAAATGTGGTCCAACCGACGTGAAACAATTGCCATAATTGGGCAAACTTTCTATATTTCTTCTACAGCATAAAACTTATATACTTCTTTTTATCCAACTGTCCATTTTAAATGGAGGGCTAAGAATGCTTCAATCACAATGTCACATCTCTATACTATTTTATTTTTAATTTTTTGTTATAAACTATTGTGATACTAAATTTTGGACGTCCAATCCTTTATTAAACTTGAACTAGAGAAAAATATATATAAAAAAATAGTTCAAATAAAATAAAATGACCCAAAATACCTTTGAAAGTTTTAAAGGGTATTTTGATCATTATATTTTATCGAAAGATTATTTTTAATATTTTTTATAGGTGCACCCCAATAAGAAGATGGGACGTACTAAATTTCATAATCATAAAATTTGTATAAAAAAACTAAAAATAAAATACTTTGAGATGTCGGATCTAATATCAAACGGTGAGTGGCTCTCTTGATCAAAATTGGACGGCTGGATGGTAGGGGAAGCATAGATATTCTATGCTGTAGGGGATGTATAGAAACCTTTCCCCTTTATAATTTATCAAATTATTTTGCTGAGTGGGGTTTTGGTACTGCTTGGGATACACTTATAGAAGTGAGACCATCCTTCCGGAGTCGGCAAGAGATGGTTTTGGACTCAAATTCTTCGGCATGTTTGTTTTCTGGAAGTATCAACTCCAAAGCCAAACTCATGGCTTTACATGGTGGCATGTAAATCATGAGTTCCTCCATTTCACCCATTTTTTTAATCATTGATTTTCATAACGGGTGAAAAAAGAAACTCCCTACTTTTATGCTCCTTATGGAAACTTGCAAGTTTGGAAGTTTGGTTTCTCAAGCAAAACTTCCGGGCAATAAACATCCTTTATCTTCAAGTCCCACACCTTAAACTTCCGGGCAATAAACATCCTTTCTCTTCAAGTTCCACACCTTGACCACCATAATCATGGATCTAGAAAAAAATTGAATTGTGAGTTCATCTCATACTTTTTCTTAGAAGGTTGGCGGAAAGGGCTATGTGGTGAGCAGATTTTTACATCTGGTCCTAAAATCCTTGGATTCTGTCTGGAACCCTTAAATCCTTAGAAACCACTGCAAACTTATGAGCCTGCCGCCTGGCTCATATGATTGCTCATATGATTGCAAAAGTTTCCGAGGGCTATGTGGTGACCCGATTTTTATATCGGGTCCTAAAATCCTTGGGATGTGTCTGAGATCGTAAGATCCATAAAGACCACTGGAAACACATGAGCCAGCAGGCTCACAAAAAAAAACATTTCCTTACTTGTCATGTACATGTTATATATGCGATCCTTTTCAACAACCAAGAAAAGCTTGAATGTATGATGAGGTGCTTATTCAATGTTGGATCGCATCTTTAGCACAAGTTGTCTAACAAAAGAGGGTTGTAGAGGCCCCATCTTACCAGATGTTGTCAGCAGGTTAGGGTTGATGCAGCATACTGTTTCGATTTTGCATTCATTAGGTCTTTGTAAAAATATTTGTTTGAAGTTACATATATCGAGATAAGGAGAGAGAACGGTTTATATGGGGCCAACCTGCATATTGTGGAATTGTAGGTTTGGCAATAAATATATTTTTTACATATAATTTGATTCTAATTTTTAGAGAATATATAACTTTAACATGGAGATCATGAATATGAAAACTAAGTAAAAAATAAATTGAAAACTAAATAAAAAATAACATTAAGAAAACATTTAAACCATTAGTTACACTTAGACCGACCACCTATTTGCATCAATCTTCAAGGTGGACGCTTTAAAAACAAATTTCTCAAACTTTGTAAACGTAAAGCCAATTTGGCATCGAATGGCTGGTAGCAATTGTGACCTCCTTATAACATAGATAAATGGTCTCTTAGTTATTGTCTATGGAGAGAGAGAGAGAGAGAGAGAGAGAGAGAGAGAGAGAGAGAGAGAGGAGGAGGGAAGGA